CTTGTTGGATACGCTCCTTAAGCATTTTTACCGAATTATTTGCATCCTAAGAGATTATTTGGGAGAAAAATGGGATGTGTAATCACAAAAAAATAAAACATTTTTCTGAGTAATAAAAATTATAATCTATTCATTTTGTTGAAATTGATAGACAATTTAAGTCTTTTGATGTTAATGAAGAATAGAAATGATTGTTACTTATCTTATTATTATCTATAATGGTTTATTTATCTATATTTGTTATTGTTAAGTAATATATAAATTTAGAAGTCAATGCATGAATTGTTTTAAAAAAATAATTAAATAAAAAAATACTGTATTATTAATTATTTTTTTAATAGAATAAAAAAAATTTTAATAATAACAATTATAAGTTTGTTTTAAAGAATATAAAAGTTATGATTTTTTTTTTCATAATTCATAATTTTGTAGTTTTATAATTATTGGTTATTTCAAAAATATATTAAAAGTTAAAAAAAGAATTTAAAGAAATATAGAATTAAGCAAAAAGGTTGTTACTGTATATATATTAAAAATTAGAAAGTTTGATTTTTAAATATTTTTAAAGTTGTAATTATAATTTTAATAAATTTTGTTTTATTTATAATTAATTTGACAAGTATTAATAAAAATTAAAAAATTAAAAAAACCATTTTATTTTTAATTTATAATATTATAAAGTCAAAAACTTATTATAAATATTGTTACTATCTGATGTTAATAAAAAATCAAATCGAAAAATCAAAATTTTAAATAAATATATATATAAATTAATAAGTATTGAAAAAATTATTATTATTATTTGCCTTTACTGTATGTACAATATTATAAAAAAAGATTTTTTTTAGTTTAATCTTGAAAATAAAAAATAATTATATGTAGTATTTTTATATATAAAGTATCGTATTTTATTAATGTAATACAATATAACTTGATTTACGATTTTAATAAACAGTGTAACACATGGACAAAGACATCTCTGATCAGGAATCTAAGTTTTTATTTCTACATCTACAACATTAAATATATTCGTTAATATACAGTCGAAACCTTTTTTTTCGGGGTTTTATTATTCGATATTCTGAATATAACATCACAAGGTTTCTGTAGCGTGAATAATCATTTACGCCTAGGTCACTTAGAAAAACATGAATAAATTCTATTCACATATTTATTCATTGTCCTGATAAGTGACATAGCAACTGTGAAATGTATGTCATTCATTTGATGATCTAAACTCATTCGTCTAATGTGAAACAACATTTGTACACTTTGAATTTATTTTATGATATAGGAAGGATTTTAAACATTTTGTTGGAACACATGATGTTGTACACAAAAGAATAAAATTGATAATTACTTGGATCAATTCTCTGATTAATAATCGTCACCTCGACTTAACACCTGAATTAAAGTAAACGTAAAAGAAAAGTTAATATTTATGTACACAGATGTAATTAAATACAAAGAACAAATATATACCTCTTTGCAAGTAGGCCTTAAAACAAAAGTGTGTTCATACTGTGCGGTATAAGATCCTTTGATATCGACCAATGGTGGATAAGCTTCCACAATACCAGCATCAACTAGGTTTTTTAATCCCATCACGTATCTAGATTCTCCGATACGATCAAGATAGCGCCGACAAAATGGCAACGTTCCAAAATGTTTATTAATATTGGCTAAAAGTGTTTTTGCTTTCGTAAGGCTATATCATCATTAAAAAAGTTTTTAATTATGTTATAATGAAACCAAATCTAAGTTTCAATAAGATGTTAATAAATTACCGAAGTGGCACGTGTCCAACATCTTGTCGTTTCGCATAATGACTACATTCACCGTCTTCATGAACATACCCTTTCCCGGTGCTTCCAAAAGTTTCAATGGCGAAGCATTCACCCTCCTGTTATATTATATAATATATCTCATTACTAATAGTTAATTCATCAATCCACAACTGAGATTCAGTTACTTTCCTCCATTTTAGTGGTTTCGTTACTTTTTATAATTGGAACGGACTTTCCAGCATGAATGGTGTATGGTAAAATGGAATGTCCGTTTAGATTTCGAATTGGTTTGACTTAAATTAAAAATGAAATTATTATATGACATCGGCTTTGTTCAACAAATTGAATAATAATAATAATAAAATTAGATTACCTTGATATGTCTTATTTGCGATTTCTACTTCGTAACTTTCCATAACTTTACAACATTCGGAGATACAGGTTCAATCATCATACTTTAAATAATAAAAAAGTGAATGAAGATTTCTAAATACCTTCCTGAATGGCGGCTCCAATATCACCCAATCTTACATCTATACCGGCTTCCTATTAAACATATTATTATGAGCTAGTTTATTCGTTATTTTGTTATTGCAATAAAATAATGAACGCAAGTACTTACGCGAATTCCAGTATTTGTAGCGTCCCTTACAGCCTCTTTAAGTTTATCATAAACGGGATTGAATGTGAGGGTAAATGCAGAATCGATGATACGACCTATTCAATCAATTAATTTTATATTAGTAAATAATCATATTACCTATACACGGGAAATTATATATTAATTGAATTATACCATTAATGTGTGTGCCAAAATCAATTTTACAAACATCATCATATTGTAGAACAGTTTTATCGCCGGCATTTGGTGTGTAATGGGCAGCACAGTTGTTTAATGAACAACCAGTCGGAAATCCTATACCTAAACGTTTTCCAATAAATACATTTTCGATAGTATAGGTAAATAACATATTATATATCCCATTTTTCTCCCAAATAATCTCTTAGGATGCAAATAATTCGGTAAAAATGCTTAAGGAGCGTATCCAACAAGAAGCGGTATGTAATCATCCCTAATCTGACAAGAGTGACCACAAATGTGCGGTAGCAAACAAAGCAACTGACGAGCCATGCCCAATTTTATAACAAAAATGCACATATTCACCAGCTTTCAGTCCATTTTCCTCGATCAAGGCACGCGTTCCGTTCTCTATTAATTCGCATATCTCTATCATTGTCATACCAGGCTTAATAGCCTTTTGGGCATACTTCCGTACCTACATAGTAATTTTGTAAAAATCAATTATTCGAAGAATGAGGTACATTTGAAGAATAAACGTACCTGTCGATGTACTTCTGCCGCATGTCGAAGTTCATTATAACTTTCAAAGTGCATTCTGTCCAGATAACGTTTTTCTTCATCCGTGGTTCTCATCAAGTTACTGTATTATAGATCGTAAATCATTAAAACAAGATTTAAAATTTTGTCCTGCAGATTTACGACTGGTCATAGCTTACTCGTTTTTGTATTCGCATATTTCACCTTCAGGATATTTTTCGTCAGGGAAAAAGTTTTTGACCGGAATTGTGGGTGGCTCTGTTTGTTGAAGCACCTTTTTCGATTTTTTCTTTTTCTTTTTTTTTTTAGCAACTTTGTAAAAGAATTGTTAGCTACGAGACCCTTTTCTTTTAAAGAATCAATTGGTTTAAATTTACCTTCATCTAAGCCAGCTTCCGCCTCATCCTCTTCTTGCTCATTTTCCTTATTTTCTTTTACTGATTCACCATCTACCGTCTTAGCCTTCACTTATTTTCAAGGCATGATTTATTAGAAGTGTTAGCTTTTATTGTATTTGGGCGAGCGTGTAGAAACCATTTGACTAATAAGTCACTAAACCAGACCGTACCTGAATCACCTGTTTCATCATTTTCTGGTTCCGCATCGCAATTTTCTGCTGCGGCTTTCTTCTTCTTCTTTTTCTTCTTCTTTTTTGCTGCTGTCCCCGAAGAAGGTGAATTCTCATTTTCCAGAATGGCAACGTTTTCGCTCTCTTCCTCACATGTTGCTGTTGATCCCTTTTCTGAAATGAAGTAAAAAATATATATTTTTAATAACTAATTGGTAATGCACAATGATTGTACAAAAATTCAGTCCATATATTAACCAGCTTTTACGATTTCGACGTCTTTCTCCACGCTGGTCATTTCGATTATTAAGATCGACAAGACAAATGCATATACTGTATAAATGTCTCTCTGATTTTAATCAAATTTTCCGGTCATATGATTTATTACTTAATCTGTTAAACTTCAGATACATGATGTACTGCATAAAGTAATATCCGATTTTATCCATTCTTGCTTTAATGCAGTATTTTAATATCTACCATTTTTGATGTCTTTATCCTTTACATTTGATCTTTGGAAGGATACTCTATCGGATTCAAGTATAAATCGAGTCATTCTTTTGCTTTAAGATCGTTTGATATGGATCTTCAGACGGCATTTTTTATCATCAAGGGTCCTTTCAACTTTTTGCAAACCATTACTAATTATGATCACTTTAAAAGTAGAAGTTGAAACAATCTGTTACTTTACCTTTTTTATATAGTGCAAACGATTATTATGTTATTATATTAATATTTTAAGTAGATAAGAATTATTTCTTTATTTATATCAAGCAGTTATAAAAGCAGTAAAAATTGTTATCACTTGTATATGGCAAAAGTTTGAGATAAAGAAAATAATAAGGTCATATATATATAATACTTATTTTTTTTTTTTTTTTTTTTTTTTTTTTTTTTTTTTTTTTATCCCGCAATCAGGTTGGTGTCGTTTATTTATTTAATCATAAAGAACCATTACAAGTTGAGAACCTATGTAAAGTAT